TCTCTCTCTCTCTCTCTCTCTCTCTCTCTCTCTCTCTCCACAGTATTCCGTCAAGATGCTCACATAATTTAGATTTTTATCGCCATATACGTATCTCGTGCTCAGATAACACAAGACACCGCTCTCCTACACGCACCAACGACACCCACTCGCCCTCCTTGCTGTGCACACACTCTTAGACACCTCCTCTTACCAGTGCACATTTATAGACACCCCTCTTACCTGTGCACATACTCAGACACACCTAGTACCTGTGCACACTTATAGACACCCCTCTTACCTGTGCACATTTATAGACACCCCTCTTACCTGTGCACACACTCATAGACCTCTCTCAAACATCTCTTCCTCCAAGTCCTTCGCCTAAACACCTCTCCCCCCCCCTCCTTCTCCTCCTCCTCCTCCATCTGTCTCCAAACAGGTCTTCTTAAACACCCAGAGTAAGCTAGACTTGGTACGCTACACACACACAATGATATTACTAGCATCCAGCGATAGCCACGCCCATCCATGTCCACACGCCCCCCCGACAACACGTAGCAATAGCCACGCCCCAAGCAACACACGGCCACGCCCACACCCCAAGTAACACACGGCCACGCCCACACCACCACCACCACGCCCACTAGCAGCTGCTGGTGTGGGTCTTGCTCTCTTCCTTCACCTTAATTCACATTTACCTTGCGCCTCTCACCCTTCTCCTCCTTCCTCCTCCATCTTCCAATTTTTCGCCTCTTAGTCTTCCTCTCCTTCCTGCATCCTCTCCAACTCTTCCTCTACTTCCTCTTGCTGTCGTTCTGCCTTTTCTCCTTTCTCTCTTCTTATCCTCCTATTTTCTCTTGTTTCTCCGTCTACTCTTCTTCCTCTTACACCTTCGCTTTAATTTTCCTCCTCCTCTCTCGTGTCCTAAATTTCCTCCTCTTTTAGTCATTTTTGTTTCTCATTCCTCCTCTTTCTTATCCTCCTCTCTTCCTCTCTCTTATCCTCCTCTCTTCCTCATTCTCATCCTCCTCTCTTCCTCTCTCTTATCCTCCTCTCTTCCTCATTCTTATCCTCCTCTCTTCCTCATTCTTATCCTCCTCTCTTCCTCATTCTTATCCTCCTCTCTTCCTCATTCTTATCCTCCTCTCTTCCTCATTTTTATCCTCCTCTCTTCCTCATTCTTGTCCTCCTCTCTTCCTCATTCTTATCCTCCTCTCTTCCTCATTCTTATCCTCCTCTCTTCCTCATTCTTCCCCTCCTTCCTCTTCCACTCATACTAAATGACGTAGGATGATTCTTTCAGGTTTACTGGGACTCTTCTATCACAGTCAGCCATATGTCTTTTACACGCTCCATGACTTTTATACCCCAGTCAGCCATATGTCTAACATGCCAGTCAGCCATATGTCTTTCACGCGCTAGTTAGCCATATATCTTTCACACGCCAGTCAGCCATATGTCTAACATGCCAGTCAGCCATATGTCTTTCACACGCCAGTCAGCCATATATCTTTCACACGCCAGTCAGCCATATGTCTTTTAAACCTCATTAGCACTCGATTCCCTTTCAATTATGTCTCATTAGAATTGGGTTGTACAGGGTGACTCAAAAGTTGCAATGTGTTGATTTTTTCTCATATAACTATATTTATCTGAGTAAGTATTTAAAGGACTATGTTATATATAGTAGGTAAAAAAAATGAATCTGCACTGCAACTTTTGAATCACCCTGTTTTATAGAATTGGGTTGTATAAGTATGACTCAAGAGGATGTGGTTAGGTTAGGTTAAATGGTTGGTGCTCGTTCGTCTTGGTTGTTCGTCTCGGTGTCAACTTGATTGGTATAAACAGCTGTAGGTGTATAGAAAAACAAATGCACGTGTATGTATGTATGTATGTATGTATGTATGTATGTATGTATGTATGTAAGTATGTATGTATGTATGAGGGTGTGTGTTTATACAAGGGTGTTTGGAGCCGTATACACCAATATTTTCATGTATATGTATTTGATCATAACACACACACCCCCACCTGGCTTATATTACGCTACACACCACAATACCAGCAGACAACAGCGGCCGGGGACACACAACAAACACTAGTAACATGACCTGACCAAAGCCCCGAGTCTCACGTATATCTTGATGCTTTCCTGTGTGGCGAGGACTGACACACACACACACACACACACACACACACACACACACACACACACACATAAATAGAGATCTGTTCTTTTACTTCGTTACTCGGAATATGTTATCATCGTACTAGTAGTTGATATTCAGTCCTCACGCCGAGCCACGCCCGAGACATAACGTACACAACCTAGATCCGCTTCCCACGACCTTGACAAACACGCCCGTGCGCGCCCACAGCCACGCCCACTTCGTCATGAGTGTAACAAACCATATCTTCCTTCCCCCAAAGAGCAACGTCTACCTTCTCACTCTTCTTCCCTAGAGCCACGCCCCCCCCCCCTCTCTCATTCAAGAGCCACGCCCAACTCCTCCCTTCTGCCTTGGTATCCACCCCACCATCTCGTTAGAGCCACCGGCCCTATCCAGCATCCCTATGGCCATACCCTTCCATCCCCCTCACGACACTGGCCACAGCTCTCATTGTCCACATTCTTTAGCTAGAGTCACAACCATTCTCCTCCCTCACGACTATGACCGTAAACCCCCGGTGAACACACACATCCATCCCCGCCTCCATGCCCTGAGGATGCCCCGCCCCGCCCCGCCCCGCCCACCTGGGACATACTGTATATATCCAGGTGTCCCACACCAGGACACACTCCTCCACCCACGACATAACCTCAACCATGAAGCTGGTAAGGCACTGTAAAGTTTGTGTAAATAATAAACTGAATTTGTTATATATATGTTATCTGTTGTATGTGTATAGAAAACTACCATATTATTGAAGTTTGCCTCTAATTATGCAACATGACTGAATATACTGTATATTGTTTCTAGATTATACATGCACCTGACACTGGTCTTGTGGTATTTCTTCCAACTATATATATAAAATATCAACACACAAGGACCACCACAGTCACCTTCCACACCCATACCATCTGTTAGATCTCACACACTCAGCAGCTGATCCGCACGTCTCGCCTCCCTCTCCCTGGAACAGCTGGCTCTGCTGCTGTGCTTGTGTTTCGTCAGCTGGTGTGCCGGCCAGCTGGTGTATTCAGCCCTGCCCTACCCGCTGCTGAAGACTACTGCCGTCCTCCACAAGACCCAGGCCGTAGCTCTTACTGATGAGGACAAGATCTCCACCACCCAGGTAGTGTGTGTGTGTGTGTGTGTGTGTGTGTGTGTGTGTGTGTGTGTGTGTGTGTGTGTGTGTGTGTGTGTGTGTGTGTGTGTGTGTGTGTGTGTGTGTGTGTGTGTGTGTGTGTGTGTGTCCTTCATTTGGTCTTAGATGAACCTAAATATTCGGTATTTATAAATGTGAAAAAAGTTAGGTACCTTTCATATACAATAATTCCATCATAATTCCTGCATAACACCTGTGTATCACCTGCATAACACCTTCACAACTACCAAAGAGCTACATAACACCTTAACACACATAAAAAACGTGTCATTCTCTCTCCCTCACAGGTGTTCACTGGCCATGTACCCTACGTGGCTCCAGTATCACTCCGCTATAGGTTACCTGTGGTCTACCCCCATTACGTCGTGCACACCTAGTAGATTAACACTACGCACCTGGTAAACCAACACTGCACACCTGTCTAACGATCATGAGTACACCGAACCTAATCAATATTAAAAGTGACGAGAACTGTTTTTCACCGTAATTAATATTCACGAGAAGACTAACAAACAAACCACTTCCACCAAAATTAAGTCATGGGAAGAAATGAATCATCATCGTCAACATTGGCCAATGAATGCAGACATGTCTTGCTGATTGGTTAATAAACGAGAATCCTACGATGCTGATTGGTTGAGACATGTAAACCCGTGTTGCTGATTGACCAGTGGAAGGAGACATATTTGCTAACATATCTCCATAACAGATCTTACACCACTAAGCTTTGTTTTTAGCTCACTCCATTAAATTAACTCTCCTACACTCTTGTTTATTCTACCTAAGTGTTTTTATTCATTAAATTGTATTCATATGATTGTTTAGTATTTTATTGTCCTGTTTTATACATTGATTCATATGACGTTCTAACTTGAAGACAAGAAACGTGCAGAGAGAGAGAGAGAGAGAGAGAGAGAGAGAGAGAGAGAGAGAGAGAGAGAGAGAGAGAGAGAGAGAGAATGTGTGTTGTAGGATCTTCAGGTGTAAAAATAACTCACTCCTGCACACCTATTCCACTTTGGAGATTGGAGCGATTGGGTCCTGTCTGTCTGTCTGTCTGTCTGTCATCACCGTAACTACTTAATGGGCTACACAATAAGATCATATCATCGTCCTGGGGCCTCCCTCTGACAGTGACGATGACGACAACTACGATAACGATAACTACGACATAATAATGACGATGACAACAGCGTGAAACACACACACACACAGACACACACACTTCAAGGACCACCTCTAAGGGCGACCACTTTTTTCAACGATACTCTCGAGTCTTATGGTTGATATTAATATATATATAAATATTTAAGCTAAAGAAAAACAAACTGAAACGCCCAACCATATTTTTTTTCAACTAAATTGTAAACTTTCAAAGGTCTGACGTCACAGTTCTTATCAGGAGGATGGTGTGACGTCAGTGGAGGTATGAGATAACAATGTATGTATTTACTCCCCAGATGTTACAGGTATTTGTGGTAATAAAACGACGGCTGGGAAGGGTGGATGAACACCTTGGTCAAGTGCAATCTAACCTTACTTAACCCTTCCCATCTACCCTGCCACTGCCTACCCTGCCACTAACCCTATACACTGCCACTATCCCCTTTTCAGCCACTACCCCGTATCCTACCACTATACATCTACCCTGCCACTACCCATCTACCCTGCCACTTCCTCACCTTGTCGGGAGAGTTGAGGAGGTCCCTGGTGGTGATGAGAAGGTGTTCTACGGGTATCCTGCCGGCGGCGTAGTCACTCACCACCTCTTTCAGCCTAGCGTGGTGGGTTCGTGTTAGCACCCTCTGAGATTTCTCATCGATCATCGCCAGCGTCGCCTCCATGTTCTCCGCCGAGGTCTCTCCGCTGTAGACAGAAACAAGGTCGTCAATGTTTGGTGAATTACGTCTGTCTGTGTCTGTCTGTCTGTGTCTGTCTGTCTGTCACTAGGGTTAATACTACGAAGACTGTCACTACTACTTTTTTCCAACGTAACGTTCAACCTCCCCTTATAGCCACACCTTCGCCACCATTTTATTACCTTTTACTACTACTATTAACTAGGCCTAATACTACAAATATGCCTACTACTACCACTATTACTACGACCACTACTACCACTATTACTACGACCACCACCACAACTACTACTACATTTCTCCTACACCAATTCGATATTAATCATACATATCATTTCTTCCCCGACCAGACAGTAGAGAGATGAAGGACTTATTTTACACTAATGAACGACTCTTAGGTTAATCTATTACAAGACGTATTTACTATCTCGCAAGTAACACAGAAAAGTAACATCTCAAGTAACACATTTCAAGTAATACATCTCAAGTAACATAGAACAAGTAACATCTTAAGTAACATAACACTTAACATCTCCAGTAACACATTTCAAGTAACACACTAAGTAACAATTAATACATAGTCGCTTGTCTTGTTATTCATTTATCTCCGTAGCGAAAGGTGAGGAAAACTTTCATTCATTATATACAAAAGGTGTTAAGTCGGATTCTTGGAGGAGTTTCACTAAATTTGAGAGAGAGAGAGAGAGAGAGAGAGAGAGAGAGAGAGAGAGAGAGAGAGAGAGAGAAATAATGACCTCTAGAAGTGTACCAAGTCAACAGTAACGAGCAACAAGCAAGAGAAGACTGAAGAAACTGAGGGTGTTCATCCTGGAGAAAAAACAAAACATACATAAAACTATTTTGTGTTCGGTGTTTTTTTTTAACATAGAGAAAGAAGTGAGTGGTGGTGAGACATCCAGAAGGGTTACGTTATGTCTCATTGGAAAGTTTCCTTGGCGCCTTGTAAGACATCTGGGTTTAAGTTTCAATCAATACATTAAACAATAAGTTATGAGAGAGAGCATGTACAGTAGTGATGGGTATTTTCTATATGTTGTCTCGTCTCTTTGCTGTTGCCTTTTACGCTTGTCTTTAACTTCTCTCTCATATTATTTCCTTCTCTTAGTTCACCTTGACATTAGTGAGAGACTGGGTCTTTACTACAATTCTCGGCACCTGCCCGCCACACCCGTTATGCTATAGGGTAAAGGAGCAAACATTTGGTCTTACAGTTAGTCGACTCTTGAATGGATTCCAAGCGCAATCCTTCACTTCCAATTATTACCTTCCACTGTCCACCGGAAGAAGGGCGGGTGTTTGAGTTAACAAGCTTCAGCTCACTCAGATTTCAGGATCAATAATTCACTTATGACCTAACACGACCTCAGCTTGGCAACTCGGGGTAACTTATGGCAGCTGAGAACATGGGAGGTGGTGGTGCTGCAAGAGCTAGTGTGACAATGTCATCCTTAAGAGGTTAAAGTTACTGTAACACAAGGCAGCGACAAGCAAATAACGTTGCACACTCCACGTCATCCCATAACGCTACTCAAGGCATCGTCTAATAATACAGCCCAGGCTCCGACTCCTGCAGGCGATATTGATTGTACAGACAGTCCTCGCAGGAAGGTAAGTGAGGCGGCGATGCTCTTGACTTACAACACTCGATTAATACAGCCACGAGGATTAATTCAGAGATCTTAAGTTATAGATATAACTTGCAGTTAGTTGTTCCACACTCCTCTCTATGGTTCTACACCCAAGAGTGTTGATTAATTGACATTGACGGCCCGCTTGAGGCAGTGTAGATACAACACAATGCGTAGTACACCTTCTATACAAAAGGGGGGCAGAGTGGACGGTACTGCATTCAACCATCTTCACTTCTAAAACTAAGATTATTTATCCATTTACAGTGGAGTGATCTGGGTGCGAACCAGCGTCCCTTACGATAGGAAGCCACTGTATCCACTCGGCTGCCGCACCCTTGATTAAAGAAATGACAACAGTCCAGCCAAAGCCAAGAAGAAAAATGTTAAAACGAATCTCAGACTCGACCTGGAACTAACGCACTTAAGAGAGCTCAAAGGAAACAAAATTGTTGTCCCTCCTCAGACCACGGAGACTGGTCATACTAAAAAGCGCTGAAAATCTTTTTCCAGAAGCGAGAGCAAGGACGAGAATGACCTAAACCAAGACTAACAGCAATGAACACAAGACTACTTCTTTACACTAGACAATATAAGAACTGATTCTAAAGTCCAGTTCACTTTGACAGATAGCTTAGGTAGTTTAATTAAATACACCTACACACCCAGTACCATAGGCCAGATTAAAGTACATTATAAAGCGTTAAAGAGAGAGACTCCAAAATGATACGTAATGAATGATACTGGTGGAGGTCCTGTGACAGAGGACACCACCTTCCCTCCCCTCCATTTTTCTAACTCAAACCTGGATCAAGACAGAGCTCAAGGTGTAGCCAACCAAGGACAAAAAAACTCCCTTCCCCTACACCATGATTACTGTATCACTGCTCTCCGTGCACCATCAACCGAGGAGGCTTGGGGTGGATCACATCTCCAACTAACAAGGGACTATAGCTGATAATGTCTGCTCGTGGAGAAATTCCCTGCACACTATCCACTGACCTCACTAGACGACTGAGGTACATGGGCTCCGTGGATATATTACAGAACTAACATGTGTACGAAGCTCAGAGGTAAAGAAACGTCATCAGGTTATTCAAGTGACACGTATCTTCCCAGTCTCGAGAAAGCAAAGGTTAAGGTTTCAATATTTACATCCTCATAAAATCATCGTAGTATGAGGACTGGTCTATTGTTTACATTGAATAACCAAAAATCTCCATAAACAATAGAAAATATGAAAAGCTTACTCAACGTATATCTTGGTCACACTCCCACCACACTAACTATGGTCTGCCATTGTGTCCACAGAAACAGGACCCGTACACGTCCTTGGAGTGAAGTCTTGCTCACAGGACAAGAACCAGACTTAGGAGAGCCTAGGATATTTCTTTTCATACCATCCTAAACACACACACACACACACACGCACGCACACACACAACACTCCACTGAACACTAGATCCGGCTAATAATCCCAGACACCCAGGACCACCGGCTTTTATGAACACAGATAAAATTTCACAAGTAGTAGAAAAATCTCCCAGCAAATCCGAGAAAGTCTTCCACCACACCAGCACCACCTTCACTATACCACTCTCAGCTGGAAGGATCTCTCGAGTTCCCACAGCAGTGATTAGAGACTCACTGTGTCAATCCATATTACATTAGTGTCACCGACAATGAGTGAAATATAAAATTTGGACCAAGTGTCGTGTTCAGGTCTGGCCCACGTGAGGACCAGCGCTGGAGCCGTCACCCTACACTCAACCATCAGCCCCTCATCTCTGACTTAGTTATCTGATTTTAGTGATATAAAATAATTCATAGATAACATTAACTTGTATAAATACGTTATATACCGATCTATATAAACTGACCAAAAATGATTATATATCATATCCTTATCTCATATCTGGCAACTACAGTATCATGGCCGCAATATTCATCTCTAGAAAATTGCACCGTAAAACAAGACGCCTCAGATGATGTGTTTATGTAAACTAACAAACTGAATATTTAACGTAAGATGAACTCACACATATTGTCACCTGTTATGTAAATCCTTTTATACTGAGCTGTACATTGTAATCTGAGATCCAGTGGGAAGTTATCCCAGGGCCAAATATAAACCTTTATTTACTATTTCTTTTATCATAATCATTACTATTATATTTCTTATTATGGTAATTATTGACGACAAATCCGTCGCCGATTTTCATAGAAAATTAATTTAAAAACGCCGCAATTTCACTGTGTTTTGTAGTGGATACTGTCGTAGTTTGGGAAAATGTGATAAAATACGGTTAATTCTACTACTTGTGTTAGGGGTTGATCAAGGTGTATACAATCGGTGTAGGAAGTGATGTCACAGTTTTCATAATGATTCATCCAAACTGAGGCATCTGGCCGCGCGCCGTTCACGAGGCGAATTTCTAGCTGTCTAACATTTTTTCTGGCATTCCTTCATATTTTTGGAGGTAAAGTAATTCCAGATGGGTAGTAAAAGTATGTTTGGAGAAGAAACAACCGTGAGATATCACTTGACCGAGTGGTCATGGGTATTTGAGTGTCGCAAACTCTGTACTCTTGTGTATTAGTGTGTACGTTGCCACACGACCAACACAGTGAACCGTTGTCCAGAAAGGCCCCTAACTTAGACGCTCTCCTGACCAGGGTGGGCCTGAAACTACGGCTCACGACTGTACCTGTATTATAGTCAAGATTTATGTACCTCTACAATAATTGAACTCAGTGTACCTTCACGTTATATTATTAAAACATAATAATATTTTAGCCTAATATTATAGAATATTGTATTGGTCTATATCTCTTTTATCTCTCTATCTCTTTCTCTTCAGACTGATCGTTCAATCTCTGTAAATCTTCACCTGACACTGTGATAAAATCGTGGTAAGCCACACCTGTGATTTGTCTTCTCCCAATTATTGAACCTCTCGTATATCTGACCAAGGAGGGGGGGGGGTTAGGAAGGAGGGGGTGAGGAAGGAAGGAAGGAAGGAGGAGGGGGAGGAGGGAGGGGGAGGGAGGGAGGGAGGGAGGGAGGGAAAATAGGAACTGAGCAAGCATATGAGTAAGCGAGTAAAAAAGAATAGTGGATGAGTAAGCTACATGAGTGAGTGAGTGAGTGAGTGAGTGAGTGAGTGAGTAATATTAAGTAGATGAATTAGCGTGAAGAATGATGAGAATAAATTACCAGTAAACTGTAGCCTAACGGATAGCACATAAAATAAACAGATCATAAGAGAAGCAGATTTTGGATTACCACGAACAAGAACTAAATGAGAGGAGAAGAACTTACTTGCTCTGGGTAGGCGGCCAGCAACGCCTGTCGTAGGTGGTGCAGGAGTGGGGGACCTTACCCACACGACGCACCGCCAGACGCAGACGACGCGAGTACTTGAGGATGTTGACGGCCGTGTCGTGCGTCACCGCCAGGAAGCTCTCCGCGTTTACCTCCAGGATCTGGTCACCTACCTGGAGGAGTGAGGCGGATGAGAGTAAGTGTGAGAGGTGAGAGTAAGTGTGAGAGGTGAGGGTGGGTGGAGTAGCGAGGATGTGGGAGAGAGGTGAGGGGAAGGATGTGGGGAGTTGATGAATGTGTAGTAGGAAGGGGAGATGGATGAGAAGTGGAAGAGGAAGACCAATGAGAGTATGAAGGAAAGGTGAAAGTGTGGGAGAGAGAGTTTTAGACAGGGGAGAGAGTAAGAAAGGGGTGAGGAGTGGGAATGTGGGGGGTAAGAGTGTGGGGAGAGGAGGCGAGTGAGATCGTGTGTGGGTGAGATGTGTGAGAGTGTGAGAGAGAGAGAGGTAAGGAAGGAAACTACTTATGAAGAATGTGAAGGGGGACAGGTGACAGTGTGAGGAAAAGATGTAACATTTAGAAAGAGAGTAGAGAGTGAGAGAGAGAGTAGTACAGAGATGAGGGTGAAGGGATGAGGCAAGGATGTGAGCTGAGAGAGAGAGAGGTAGAGGTATAGGTAAAATATGGAAGAGTACAGGTAAAAGTGAACATTACAGGTACATTCAAGCTACAGTAGAAGTCAAGCATAAATTACAGGTATAGTCAAGTCAGTAACAGGTGCCATTAGTCAATTAACAGGGTCCATTTCTTAATCAACAGGTATGATTCGCTAATTAACAGGCGAAAGTAGACTCCACAGGTATGACGGCCCATTAGGGAGAGTGTAAATACAACACAATTTATACTGGTGATAACCGTGGTAATATTACGAGATGTTCTTATTACCACCATGCTATTGTACTATTCCAGATGATACTAAATGTTACATAATACTTCCTAAAAGAGAGCTCAGGTTGTCAAGTGGCTCAGTCATGTTAATATTGTTATTATTATCCACTCTGTATCTGTGTTTTTCTGGCTAAATAAACTGTTTCAAGTCAATTCAATTCAACGAAGACTCACTGTGACTCCTATTGATTCGACCTTCTCACCTCACCACAACTTAATTAACAGGTAGCCTTTTATACTGCACAGACACCAATTCATAGTTAACATATAATTTTACAATGGCTCATTACTGCCTTACCTGAGACCATAACTAACTACCAGGTACGTCAGAGTATTAACATTTTTCAGTCAAGATCAAACTCAGGAAACAGTAAAAGTATCAAAAAGGTGACTTGTTCTAAAGAGACCTACTGGACCCTAACCTGACCTGACCTGACCTAACCTGACCTGACCTAACCTGACCTGACCTAACCTGACCTAACCTGACCTGACCTCAGTAGATGGTATTAGTCAACATTCCCAAGAGGTTCTAATTCTAATCAGAATCAATCCTCTAAACACCTCAATTACGTTACAGTATCTCCATCAAACAAGTTAATGGTGCCGGATGTTACCTCTCTCAAAGCTGTAACTATAACCTTGGACATTTTGACTCAACAACTATAAAGGTGTTGAAGGATGTCAGGTCGAACAAACTTGCCAAGCTACGACGCTGTAACTCTCACCGTGCCTGAGTTATTTTACCGACAGATACAGTGATAAAGAGAACAGATACAAACGACACTGACCCCCTTACTCTGTGTGTGTGTGTGTGTGTGTGTGTGTGTGTGTGTGTGTGTTTTCCTTTATAGTATATTTTTCCCAATAAATAAACCGACCAGTCGTAACGTCACAGTACAAACCATAAATGAAGACCATCATTATTAACTTAACTGATCTTAAATAACTATTCTTTGGTTATGTTACGATATTCCCGTAAATAACGTCTAAAATAACAGAACAAATATTACTATAGATGAAATAATTTACATAAAATAATAACAAAACGCATACTATTATTTGGCTACAGTCAGTTGTGATTTAGGGTTTGTTCCTATTAAGTGCTACATATCTGGGTGTCACGGTGGATGATTGTAGTGTCGAGTCGAGTGTTGGTGAGCGACACACGGCTGCCTCTGAGATATTAACCTGACATCTCCACAGTTCACCTAACACACGCCACACCATAACACTGTTAGGAAGGGGAGAGTGACATATACCAAGATGGCTGTGTCAGGTAGGGATGTGTGTGTCATATACCAAGATGGCTGTGTCAGGTAGGGATGTGTGTGTGTCATATACCAAGATGGCTGTGTCAGGTAGGGATGTGTGTGTGTGTGTCATATACAAGATGGCTGTGTCAGGTAGGGATGTGTGTGTGTCATATACCAAGATGGCTGTGTCAGGTAGGGATGTGTGTGTCATATACCAAGATGGCTGTGTCAGGTAGGGATGTGTGTCATATAACATTGTAAAAATCCATGTTGATTATTTTGCATGCATATATTGTCTTCTTGGCTTCCCACCTCCCCATAAATCTTGTAGGCTCTAATTTGTATCATCCACAAACTTAATTTTATAACAAGCTTTGTCTATATCGTTGACGTGGTTCAGATTCACAAACGAGGCTGGACCCAGAACATATCCTCGTGGTACTCCTCTCAATTTGAGCCAATGTTTAACCACTCCAACAACGCCAAGAACCTGCCGCTTCAAAGGTGTTCTATACGTCGACTGAGAAGCTTGGCCGGTAGAGTTTATCACCAAATCCAGGAATATAAGCAAACGTGTTAGGCAAGATTTATTCTCCAGCGGAAGAGTTTACCAATACGTGCTGTGAGACTAATCTGTCGACAGTTTTCTGCTGCACTTAACATTCATGAAGATCGAGGTGACATTTGCTGATTTCCTGCCCCGATATACTTCCCCTTGATCTTAACGCGAGTGTCCAGACGTGTGTGTTTATAGTTGTATATTTAAAAGACTGTTAATGTGTTTTTATACATGTGTGTTTCTTCACGTGTTAATTATTGTGTATTAATTGTATACGTGGGTTTTTACGCATGTGTATTTATATGTGCTTAAACAAGAGTGTCAAGACGTATTTGTTTAAACGTGTGTGTGGTTTTCAATATGTCCTTATATACGCGTGTTAAACAAATATGTTAATGCCTGTGTGTTAAGACGAGTGTGTTAAGACGAGTGTGTTAAGACGAGTGTGTTAAGACGAGTGTATTAAGACGAGTGTATTAAGACGAGTGTGTTACGACGAGTGCGTTAATATTAAATATGCCCCAGTTTATCCCTTTCTTCCCATACATGTGTTTTCAATTTCTCTCGACCTCCAACAAGTACACTTACCCATATCAAGGTGTCTTACTGTGTGACCCACCTGGACCTAAACTGTGTTAGGTAGCATGGGAACACCTGACCTTCCTTTATAATGTCGACAATACTGATAATTCGAAGAGCAAGACATCGTACTGGTAGTGACATAGAGGCTAAGTAACCCAAATCCAACCCAAACACACCGTATAAACTTTATCCCAATGTTATAAAAAAATCACTTCGTTATATATTTTAAATTTTGACAATATTTCAGTTTATTGTCGTATCTCCTTTACACACACACACACACACACACACACACACACACACACACACACACACACACACACACACACACACACATACAAAACAGTCACGAAATCATACACATACAGCATACGTACATATATATCTAACCCGTATATTATTCTGTACATAACACTATATTATCGTATCATCTCCTTCAGCTTTATCACAAAACTGTAGCCTCCCACCCACACTTGTTCCTCTATATCACAGGAACACGGTAATAACACATGGTGGAGACGGTGTAATGATAATAATTCTTCACGAGGGCGAGGGTGATGTGAAGGATCTATCTAGGTAGGTGGGTGGGTGGGTGGGTGGGTGGGTGTTTGGGTGGGTATTTGGGTGGATCAGTGAGTGAGTGAATAAATGAATCGGTGAGTACATCGTTCATTACTCACACAACACTCGAGATAATTCCATCATCACCCCTCAGTGTTTTAGGGGCAGCTGGGGTATGAACAAAGAAAATCATATATTCATTAAAATCCCCAAAGATCTATGTCACATCACCCTTACCTCCCGTGAAGGACCACACATACATACATACATACATACATACATACATACACATACACACATACACACATACACACACACACACACACACACAAAAGGTAATTTATGTTCGCTTGAATAATGAACGACGACGTGTTAATACTGCCAGGGGGAGCAAAGCGGTCATGGACTGAATTAATTATCAATAGAGAAGTGTGTGTGTGTGTGTGTGTGTGTGTGGGTGTGTGTGTTTGTTCAATTTAATCACCAAAGGCTGGGGACTTAACGAAGGAGCTCCTCTATTAATAAAAACAACTTCCTGAACATTATTTTTGTTTAATTATGTTTTATTGAACATTATTTTTTTTAATTATGTTTTATTAAGTTATTTACGCCTGTTTGATTTCTTCAAGTCAATTGCCATAGGACTGAGCCATAGAGTTTGCGAAATATTATATTCATATACTTTATTTCCTCAAATATTCTATATATTTCCAATTTGGTCAAATAAACTTAAAACTAATATCATAGACAATATTACTATAAAAAATGAACAAGAGTTGAACACTATTAATATTTTAGTGAGACGCAATACTGACTATACTGTATTTGTCACACGTTCAAGACACTTATGGTGACAAAGGTGTTATGATTCTTAAACTTTCCGCAAGCAACATACATATTTTTCTCCTGGATGGGGTAAGGTGGTAGCTAGTATAAGGTGGTAGCTAGTATAAGGTGGTCGCTAGTATAAGGTGGTAGCTAGTATAAGGTGGTAGCTAGTATAAGGTGGTAGCTAGTATAAGGTGGTCGCTAGTATAAGGTGGTAGCTAGTATAAGGTGGTAGCTAGTATAGTAGGGTGGTAGCTAGTATAAGGTGGTAGCTAGTATAAGGTGGTAGCTAATTATAAGGTGGTAGCTAGTATAAGGTGGCTAGTATAAGGTGGTAGCTAATTATAGGGTGGTAGCTAAGGTGGTAGCTAGTATAGGGTGAGTAGCTAGTATAAGGTGGTAGCTAGTATAAGGTGGTAGCTAGTATAAGGTGGTAGCTAGT